CGCTCTCGGGCTTCTGCCCCTGGGCCGGAGACCAGGCACTCCCGTTGTCCGGGCCGCGGGCGGTGGTGGACCTGTTAGCGCAGCCTGGGCTGACGGAGACGGTGGGCCTGGGAAGCAGACACAGGCCACGGTCCCTGTGTGGAAAGAGGGTGACCGAAGTGCTGCTTTGAGGGACACACAGGGTGCACGTCAGGGACTTCCCGCTGCAGGTGCCGTCTGGAGGCCAGCCAGGGAGGCGCGAGGAACCGTCAGGGGAAGGGCCGCCCACGCTGACGCCTTCCTGTGAGCACGGTGTGTCCCTACATGGGCCCCTACGTGGGCAACGCCGTGGTGTCGCCTGAGCTGCCTTGGCCTGTCTTCGAGGCGTCTTGGGTCAGAGCACGGACGAGGAGGAGCGCTGGCCGGGGAAATGCACGGCACCCCACAAGTTCCACACTTGATTCTCAAGCAAAAAAAGGGAAAGAACAGGTTGGGCCTGACCTGAATTGTCTTTACTAAATGAACACCATCCAGCAAAAAAAGAACTTTGTGCCCCATTCTTCAAATTTAAGGCTACTGTATAACTAGAAAAATGAGTTTTAATATTTAATACTCTAGGATTTGGAAAATCTCTTACTAGATAATGTTGGGAGATACTTCCTTGGGGGGAATAAATATTTTATAACTGCTGTGTGCACGGTGCCAAGCGTCCCTCTGAATAAACAAAGACACATTTGAGGACGCTCTGTGGGAGCTAACAGCTGGCTGACGAAAACAGGGACTGGAGCCTCCTACCTCCAAGACGGTGCGTGACTCTGGACCCTGAGCAAAACGGGGGTGTGGGTTTCAGAATCACGTCTGGGCAGAAGCTATTTTATCATGCGTACATACACATACACACACCACACATTATCACGTGTGCACACAGGTTCACATGTGTATACACATTTCGTCATGCTTTGAGTTTTAAATCTTAGAAAATGTAGACCCAATACTTGCCAGAAATCTGCCCTGTGGTCTGCCCTGCATCCTAATCTTCTTGAAAAGTCAAGGTTGAAGCCCTGGTGAGGACATCAGCGGGGAGTGTCCCAGGGAAAAGAAGCAGCTTAGATTTAACAAGAGAAATGTCTATTTCTTTTTCACACAAGGCCATCCAGGACCAAGCAACTGCCCCACAGATGGGAGACCCAGTCTTCTTCATCCACAGCGTGGAGGCTACCTCCTCATGGCACAAAACGGCTGCTCAAGGTCCAGCCTTCATAGCCACATTTCCACCAGCAAGCAAGAGGAAGACCAACAAAGGTTGGTTTCCTGTGAGAATTCCCTGTGAGAATACTCACCTAAAATTGCTTTTTTTGGTTACCTGACCACACTGGCTACAAGGGAGGTGGGAAGCGAGGTAGCCTTGTGCCTGCCAAAAATCGGAGTCTATTCCTGAGACAGAAGAAGGGAAGGGGAGGAGAGAGCGTAAAGAAAGCCGAATAGTGCATGGGGCAGCACGGACTTCCCCACAGTCTGGGAGGTGGGGCAGAGGGGAGAACTAACCCTTGAACAGCGCTCGACAGTTCCTCTTCTGTCTGCCCTCCTGGGCTCACCCGGCGGCACCCCGGCTCCCCCAGCTGCCAGCCGGCTCACAGCCACCCTGCCCTGGCGCCCCGGGCCGGTGCTCCTCCCCACACGGCCGGGTCACAGCTTGGTCCCACTGGCCCTGGGTCCCAGATGACCGCCCGTGGGTATACTGCAGCTGTTCCATGGTAAATGGCGACTGCAGGGAGTTTTGAAGGAAGTACGACCATGTGCCCGATGCTCCGGAAGAGACGAGGACCCTGCCAGCCACCCCTTCCCACTTAGTCACATCCTGGTCTCCCCAGTCTTTGCTTCCTCTGTCTGGCCCAGAGTTGGGTGGACATGGGCTTGCAGAGACGGCTCCTTCATGCCTGGTGCTGCTGCCCTCCCTCGTTCATGCGCCTCCACGTTGTTGGTGTGGAGCCCCGGCCCGGTCCTCCTCCCTGCAGAGAGGCAGCCCATCGTGGGGCCCCACCACACTTTGCTTACTGCTGGATACTTACGTTGTTTCCACTTCGGGGCTAATATGAACAAAGCTGCTCTGGACATTCTTGTGCACAGCTTTCTGAGGACACATCATTTGTCTTGGGTAAACCCCTAAAAGTAGGATCGTGGGTTCATAGGGTAGCAGCTTGTTTAACTTCATTAAAAACTTTCTCAGTGATTGTACCATTTTTCATTCCCACCAGCCGTGCGTGAGGGTCCCCGCTGGTGTATCTCACCGATATTCATCACGGTCAATCTCTTTAATTTTAGAATTCTAATGGGTCTACAACAGAGTCTCATTTTGACTTAAATTTGCATTTCCCTGATAACTCAGGATGCCAAGCGCCTTTTTATGTGCTTACTCGGTAATCTTAGATCTTCTACTGTTTGGTGTCTACTCACGTCTTCTGTCCAATTTTTTTGTGTGTTGTCTTTCCTTACTGATTTACTGGCTTTTAAAAATATAACCTGGGTAGAATTTCCGTGTCAGGTATATTTATCGTGAATATTTTCTTCCAATCTGTTCATTTTCTTTACAGTCTTTCAAAGAGCAGAGGTTTTACTTTTGATGAAGACAGCTTTATTTTTTTCCTTGATGGTTTCACTTTTTGTGCCCTAGCTAAGAAACTTCCATCTGCTCCAAGACGGTGTGGTATTTTCTTTCACTCTTACACACACTTCAATTTCCTTCTAAGCCTGTGACCTGCCTCTGACGAGGGCTGCCCAGCGTGGTGCGGGGGCTGCGTGTCCCGGTGCCCACCCACCCCCCAGGTGTTCTGGCACCATTGTGGGAAAGACCATCCTTTTCCCCACTGAATCAGCACGTCTGGCCAGATCAGTGGACTCTGTTCCGCTCCACTGGTCTACACCATCTTCCGTATGCTGCAGCCTTCCTGTCAGTCTTGAAATGAAGGAGTGTGAGTCCTCCAGGGCTGCTCTTCTCCCTCACGATCCTCTTGGCCACTCTAGGTCCTTTGTGTTTCCATGGATATGGTAGGGTCAGCTGTCGGCTTCCAGGAAAAGGTGTGCTGGGCTTGTGACTGGGATTGCACTGAGTGAGACGCGTACCTCCGAGGGAAAGGACATCTCACAAATCCAAGTCTTCCGACCCCGACCACAGCCCTCTCTCCATTTCTCTCAACCATGTTTTGTAGATTTAGTGCAGGGATAGTACGCATCTTTTGTTAAATTTATTCCACAGCGGTGTGTTTCTGATGCTACTCTAATGGCATGTTTCTGTCCTTTTCCATTTGTTCCTGGTATTTACACATACAATCCATATTCACATATTGACGCTGTACCCTGTTCCTTGCTAAATTCACTTCTTAGCAGTTGCATGTTTTTGTAGATGCCACAGGATTCTCTACATACACCATCCCATTAGCCAATAGAAACCCACCAACTTTAAAAGGGCTCATTTGTCTTATTCCTTTAGAAATATCCCTCCCCAGATGACACAGTCCCTGCCTCATCTCTTTCCACTCCATGAGAAGCCAAATTTCTTGAAAAAGTTGTGCACCTCTCTTTGTCTCTACTACAGACCCCACTCACTCTCCCACCCCCTCCAACGCTCTGCCACCGTCCCACCCCCCCTTCAGAGAAATGGTTATTCTTGGGTCACTCACAGCCTCCACCTTGCTAATCCCAACTGCTGTTTCTCAGTGTTTATCTTACTGCCATCTTGGCCAGATTTGACATAGCTGACCCCTCACCCAACACCCTTCCCTTGGCTCCCTGGGGCTCTGCCCGGCTTCCCTTCCACCTCTCTGCCCCACCCCCCTGCAGCTCTTCCTGCTGCTCCTGGCCAAGGGGTCTCCAAAGCTGGTGGTCTCCAGCCCCGCTCCACCCCTGCTGCACTCATCCACACACCAGCATGTCTAGGCAGCTGTGAGCAGACCTGCACCTCCAGGAGCCTTCCTGCAAAGGTGAGCTCCGAATACCTCAGCATCCCGCATGCCCGGACAGAACACCTAGCACCTGCTCCTGAGCTACCACCTGTCCAGCCCTCATCTGGAGCTCCCCATGCCGGTGCATGCCCCATCCACCCTTGTGTGTAAGCCCCAGGGCTGTGGCCTCTTGGCCCTCTTTGGTCTCACACCTGTCACCCAAACACGCTCTCCCTTCCTGCCCTGGGCGTGTGCCCGCGGCCTCTTCACCTTCACTCTCTCCAAACCAGTCTTCACCTGGCACCCTCAGAAAACGCCAAGACCCGGGCGCACCGCGTCCAGCGCCCTTGGGAGGACCGCGATCCCGCCCTGGCCAGCGCCCTCGACCCGGTTCCCCGCAGCCCCGCCCACGCGCCCTCGCGGGCGCCCCTCCCTCCCGCACAGGTGCCGTTCTCCCCGCCTTTGTGGGGAGCCTCCTCTCCTCTTGCAAATCTCAGCTCACCCGTCCCGTGCTTGCGCGACCCTCTCAGGATCCGACCCCTAGATAGGCATTCACTGTTTGCCTGATGTCCTCTCCGCACGCGGCGGCCCGTGCAGCCCCTGCGTTTCCAGGCACGCTCAGGCCCGGCCCAGGCAGGGGCGAACAACTGTCCGGACGATCCTCGGTCTGTAGGATGCACGAATCAATGGATGAATGGATGCCCGCGTGAATGAGTTAAGGCAGGCAGGAATAGGTTCCGGAAGCCAGGACCAGATCCAGGGGCATCCTTGACCTGGGGGACTGCGGGGCGGGGACGTGGGGCCGCTCGGCTGGAGCATCGCCCCGGGGAGTGGGCGGGGGCTGTGCGAGTGGGGTCGCCCGGGCCAGCGTGGGCACGACCCCGACGCGAGCGCGCCCTGCCCTCGCTCCGCTCCCCTCGCCCCGGGGCTGCGCCCCCGCCCCCACGCCTTTGTCCGGGAAGGGCGGGAGGAACGCGCACAGGGTGGTCTCCTGGCGGCGCTTCGCCTCCGGACTAGTGTGGCCCAGTCGCCGACCCGTACGACCGGCCGGCGTCCCCCGCGGTCGCTAGGCAACCACCGGCAGTCGGCTAGGCGGAGAAAACCAAGCGCGCTCGGTCCCGGCGCCATGGACCTGGTCATCACGCAGGAGCTGGCCCGCGCCGAGAGCCAGCAGGGTGGGCGGGGGACCCGACCCCCAGCCAGAGGGACCCGGGACCCGCCAGGACCCTGCCCCCCGGAGAGGCGGACCCCGCAGACCCCTGACCTGGGGTGGCCGGGTCCCGCCCGACTCGGGATTCCCACGTTGGGGAGGTCCCGGAACCCACACCGCCCCCCGCACCGCGTAGGACCTCCGCGACCTCCGCCTTGTCATCCTCCCCGGTTGCTCAGGATCCCTGCCCCCACTGCTGCCGAGGCTCGGGCCTGGTGGAGGCTGGGGACGGGGAGCGGCCGCGGGGTTGGAGGCCGGTCCGCGGGGGGTGGAGGCCGGGCCGCGGGGGTTGGAGGCCGGGCCGCGGGGGGTGGACGCCCGGCCGCCGGTCCCCTCCCACACTGGCCCCCCGGTGCACAGTGATGCCATGCGGGCTTTCTCCTGACCAGACCTTTCTCCACTGTCGTCCTGGTAGATGACGCGTCCCTGAAGAGGGCTTATGAGCTGATTAAGTCGGCCAACCTGGGCAAATCAGAGTTTGACCCCATGGAGAGCTTCAGCCCCGACCTGTTTGTTTTGTGTGCAGAGCAGGCGCTGAAGGTACGGAGTCGGGGGTCCTAGGAGGGTCTCTGTTTCTGGGAGCACGAGGGGGAGCTGGAGACAGCGGTAGCACCCGGGGGCGGGGGTGCCGTCCTCAGGTCTTGGCAGAGCCGCTGCCTGGCGCTGCATCCGCAGGCACCCTTCTGGGGCCGTTCATGGCCGCGGGGTGGTGTCTTGCAGATGGGGCACCCCGAGATGAGTGACGACTGCATCCAGATGTACTTCAAGGCGAAGGGGCCAGTCACCCAGTTCCTGGGCCGAGCTCACCTGTGTAAGGCCCAGCTCTGTGCCCCCAAGTCCACCGAAAACCTGGTGAGAGACGCCCCGGGGAGCAGGCGTCCATCTGAGGGTGAAGCCTTCCAACCCTAACCTTCCGTGGGACCCCCACCAGGTCCCCGTTCCTAAACGAATACCTAATGGTTTGTCCCACTCGAGGTTTTCCCTGAGGCTGCCTTGATTCTCCTCAAAATTTTACATCTTGTGTGGAAAGAGTTACAATCTCACCTGCTTCCAAAATTGTGTCAGGCTAGACAAATCCTAAAGTACTCTTTATGGGGCGCCTGGGTGGCTCAGTCGTTAAGCACCTGCCTTCGGCTCAGGTCGTGATCCCAGGGTCCTGGGATCGAGTCCCGCATCGGGCTCCCTGCTCCGCGGGAAGCCTGCTTCTCCCTCTCCCACTCGCCCTGCTTGTGTTCCCTCTCTCGCTGTATCTCTCTCTGTCAAAT